TATATATATATATATATATATGTGTGTGTATGTGTGTGTGTGTGTATTAATTGCTTAAATATTATAGAATAAATCATCTTCATTGGAGCTTTTGATATCAACAAGTCACTGTACATACATCATGCAGAGTGTATCGAGTTAGATGCAGTCGAGAAAGAGAGAGAGAGAGTCACAACTTTGTTAAAAACCTGGAAGGTGGCACACTACATAACAAATAGGAACAAGACACTGACCAATATTTCCAACAAAAAAAACAAAAGCTAATACTCCATCTACATTTTCTACCACTTATCTGTATTTGAGTTACGGAGGCAACAGATCCAATTCAATTCAATCCAGGAGTGAAACCCAGTCAGGCCTCTCTCTAGCATCTGCAGCTCCTCCTCTTTCTGGTCAAGAACCACAGCCTCGGACTTTACGAAGATGACTATCAAAACAACCATTTCACACTTGGTTGCGAACCATCCCGATGCACGCTGAAGGTCTTGGCCCGAAGATGCGAACAAAACCGCACCATTTGCAAAAAGTAGAGGAGACCATGAGGTTTCCAAACCAGACACCCTCCTCTTCATGACTGCGGCTTGAGAGCCTGTCCATGAATACCAAAAACACGATTGAAGACAAGGGACAGCTCTGGTGGAGTTAAACCAACTGTAAATCTCAACAATTTCTAAAGCATTGTTACCATAGCATTTAGGTACCTAACTAACCCAACTACCAACCACTGCTTCTATGTATCCGATTCATCAGTCACATTGAGGCCAACTTTAAAGTACTTCTCCACCTTCTATCTGTGTTCTCGGTCGAGGACAGCAGTACCTCCTCCTCACTGGAAACTCTTCTGCCTGTTGTCTTTTTTTTGTTTGTTTTTAGTGTTTACCAACAGGTTCAGGGATTATCACTACAAGAAGCAACAAACATCTTACAGGCAAATTTTTTCTGACCGGTAGTTGCATGAGCAATGAGAGATCAGAACACAGCCTATAGGCTCTATGCCATGGGCCTCCATCAGAGTGCTGGAAATGTTCAACAAGAGGTAGAAATTAAAGCTCTCCTGGACTGGAGCCTGTTCCAGATGTTTCCAGCACACCCTCACGATATGATTGGGTCTGTTGTATCAGGCTGGCAGCAACCTGCTCCTGCCACCTTATCTAACCCATTGCCAAGGGGTGATCAGTAGACACTTCAGGTGGTAAATCTGATGACATAATAAAATCAATCGCACATGAACATTCCTACCACCCATTAAATATCCTGCTCTTGAGGTATGGCAGCAGATTTGTTACGTTTTGTCTCTGCTTGGTCTTACTCCCCCTGACACACACATATTCAGAGCTAAACTCCTCAGTCTCTCTGTTTGTATATTCCTCTGTGCTCCCTCTTCTACCTTTTTCATACTCCCCCACTCAGATAAGACAGACTTCTGCTCGGCTTGTATGTCAACCTGCTGAATTCCAAACAGGCCCCTTTAAAAAAAACCAGAGCCAGAGTCTCTCCTCTCTTCGCTCACAGAATATAAAATATTCCTGCTACCAGCACAACCAAGAATCTCTCATGTCAACCAATGCTCTTCTGACACATTTGTTGCATCAAAGGAGAGCTATTACACCTATTCTAAGCTTTACTTATTTACACATTAACTCCATTTTATAAAAAGTTTCAAATATTGTGAACAGTCTGAAAAAAGTTGCATTCTAAAGTAAACTTGACTTCTTCTCAGTTGATTCATTTGCACATCTCTTTTAATCAGATTAGGATTTTAGCAGTGGACGGAATGAACGTCTCAAATGAATAAGTATCACATGGACTCCTGTTTTGCAAGCAGTAATTTCCCGCGCATTTTATAACATAAACCTGAAATTAAACTTTGATTACAAGTTGTGTTGATCTGGAATTGGTAAAGCAAGAGCTCAAGGCAGAAAAGGTAGATTTGTCCAAACAGGCAAAAACTGTAAAGGACACTTCATTGTATGTTAAGTAGATTTAAATAAAATAAAATAAATTGTTACCTTATTGAGCCAGGTTTCAAACTTATTCTCCTCAGTTGTTAGAAACAAATCTGAAGGGAAAAAAACAAAACAAAAACAATCAGACAGAAAAAAAAATGCACAAGTCATTGAGTTAGATTATCAGTTAATAACATCAAAAATAAAGAACATGCACTGTTGGGTATTATAAACAAAATACAGTAAATGAGTTAAAGTAACAGCACTGACTCTTGTCAGTTTCAGAGACTACCTTGAATATCTGAGTTAGGGATCTACAAGAAACCAATTCTCCAAATGGTGGTTTACTCTGTTTACGATCAGAAAGTACCAGTAGGTAAACCCACTGTCTACTTGCTGCCTTTAAAAACAGTACTTCCACTTTGAAATGGATACTAACTGTAAAATTAAAGCAACAGCCACTTTTCTGGACCACTCCAAAGCAATAAATGTATACAAATGGAACTGCATACATATCTATTGCATATTTCTTCTTGCTTAAAATTTTCACATACATACATTTTTATATATCAGTGTTCTACTGTTCCAAAACTATTTAAGTAAATAAATAAATAAATAAGCAAGCAAGTAAAAGTTTCGTTATGGTTGTAATTTTCATTCAACTTTTATTTATACAGGCTAGTCTCATTGAGCCTCGAGAACTCATTTACAAGAGAGACCTGATTTAAACAAAGAATGATGACAACAATAGACAACAACAGACAATCATAAAAGAAAACATAAATTCAAAAAACAAATGGAAGAAAATGCTATTAAAAAAAGAAACAAAAACAGCTACATTATGAAACAATGTAAAATACTAAAAACAGGAACATGTCTGCATAGTTTTTTGCTATGAACTTATCACATGTTTGAAGCCACGTAGAGAGGTCAAGGTCGAGAGCTTCATATATTTTTGAAAGATATTCCAGGAAACAGGAGCGGAGTAGGAGAAGGCCCTTTATGCCTAGTTCAGTCCGCACTGAGGGAACACTGCGGGTAATTATGTCCTGGGAGAGCACGCTATAGCTGCACTCATGCAGAGACATGTAGGAGGAGATGTATGAAGGCAACAGACCAAGAAGTGATTTAAAGATGAAAATGTACCAGTGAGAGAGTCTGTGTGAAGTTAATGATGTCCAGTTAACCAGTGAATACAGAGTGCAGTGGAGGGTATGGTAGTAACAGCCAGTTATGAATCTTAGCGCACCATGATAGACACCGTCCAATATCTGCAGAGTGCTTGTAGGAGCGTTCATGTAAATAATGTCACCATAGTCAATGGAGGGGAGGAAAGTCACAGTTACAAGGCATTTCCTAGAATTCAGAGTTAGACAGGAACTATTTCTGAAAAAGAAACCCAGTTTTACTTTCAATGTCTTTACCAAGTTTTCAATGTGGGCCTTAAAATAGAGATGCAAGGTACCCAAATATTTGTAGGATTTGACAAACCCAATAGGAACACCGTTCAAAGATAAAATATAAGGAAGGGATGCTGGTGCCGACTTCCTGTTTGAAAACAACAACCCTTTGGTTTTGTAGGCATTTGGTACAAGTTTTGAAACAGATCAAATCTGACTGAATGATGTCAAAAGCAGATTGCAAAAGCTGGAAAACCGTAGCAATTGTTTTAGCTGGACAGTAAACAACTGTATCATCAGCATAGAAATGTAAGGATGCATCAGGGATGATCTGATCTACTTTACTTATGTAGATTGTGAAGAGGGTGGGTCCTAAGACTGAGCCTTGTTTTACACCATTCTGAACAGTTAGACAACTGGAAGAAGTACCATTAAACTATGTTTTATATCACCTTTAACTGAGAAGTACAAGAGCTTTTTAATCTTGGCGTTTAGGGGAAAAAAACACTGACATCTCACATATAACATGTTTATTTTACAGTAAAATGTATAGCAATCTGATTGCCACCAGCATTGCAGGAGAATCGTTCCTCCTGGCAACACTTTGCTAACAATATAGAAATTACTACAACTTCATGTTCTTAACAATTGCTTTTGTTCAAAACTAAAACTTGGTTTTAACTGATTTTAACATTTTTTTAGCATATTAAATAAAATAAAGACATTTAATTTAAAGAGTAATACAAATATATACTTTTTACACAGCAGTGTAGGTCTAGTGAAGAAATCTACTTAAACAGGATTTCACTCAGCCTTCGAATGTTCACCTCCTGGTAATGCCTGTAGCTTGTTCTATTGGAATCCTATAACCTGCACTTGTACTCATATTGCCTGTGCTTGAAGCGTGAAGCTTCAGGCTGAACTTCTAATGTGGTTTCTGTACGTTTCTCTAGGAAAAGACGGTTACTTTCATTGCTATGTTCTGCGGTTCTGCCCCAGTAATTGGACATGAAATAAATATTGGCATTGATCTGCCTCAGGGTGCAGCTTGACTTGATGTGTTGCTGCACTCTGCATAGAAAATACAAATGGTAAGGGAGAAAAAGAACGGAAGGGTGGTGGAGTTGGGGGGGTGTCATTAATGACCTGAGCAATGGAGGTCATGTGTAATGTCAGTGGCAACAGTGGAAACTCTGCATTATGAAAAGAACTGGAATGTTGCGCTCACTGCAGCTGACAGCAAAAAGGTTGAAATGCTATTTCTCACAAATGGTTATGATGAAGAAAAATATCTTAATGAATTACAATACCACTATTTTTGCTTGGAAGCATGCCAAATCTCACACACACTGACTTAAAGATGTGGACTTTTTAGATTAAAACTTTACTTTAGAAAAGCTGTCAGCTTGAACTTGGACCAATAAAACGATAAAAAAAAGCATGGAAATGAACAAATCCGTGCATACATTACGCACACAGACACTCCACAGGGTTCAAAGTAATTTGTACACTGTGTGTATGTGCTTTTCTGTGTTGCTGTACGCATTTTGTAGTCACAACGGGTGGTGTGTTGATGAGCTTAGTTAATCAGCCAATCAGGCCTCTTAGACAGAACCCAGCCGCGATTGGCTGATTAGATGCAGTGTTGGTGTGTCAGTGAGAGGAGCTTAGTGGAGCAAAGGATGCACACAGATCATCTTGTAAACACTTAATGCTGCTGTGAAGAACATTCCTATTTTTGTCTTCTTTCAGTCCTTCTCCTCTCTAATTGTATCTTGAAATGAAAACTTTAACCTGAAAGGTTAGAAGGAGTACTTTTCTTTGGGCACACTTCTTTTTGGTGAGCTCCTGTTCTAAGATTATATACTTTTTTTTAAGTAGACTAATATGTTGTAAAATCTAGAAATTATTATGATTTACCATCCATCCATTATCTTTACCCGCTTATTCCATTTTGGGTCACGGGGGTCGCTGGTGCCCATGTCCAGCAATCACTGTGCGAGGGGCGGGGGACACCCTGGACGGGCCGCAAGTCCATCACAGGGACACATAGAGACAAACGAGACAAACAACCATTCACTCTCTCACTCACACCTAGGGACAATTTAAAGTTACCAATCAGCCTAACATGCATGTTTTTGGTCTGTGGGAGGAAACCGGAGTACCCGGAGAAAACCCACGCATGCACGGAAAGAACATGCAAACTCCACCCAGAAAGGCCCCTGGACCGGGGTTTGAACCAGGGACCTGCTCGCTGAGAGGCAGCAGCTCTACCAGTTGCGCCACCGTGCTGCCATGATTTACCATTATTCTTTAAATATGATCTATACTGTATTGTTCTTCCCTACTCATCACTTACTAGTCCACAGACCTTGGCATAAAGCGTTCCTCACATTTCTAAGAAGAGCTGCCACCGACATTGTAAAGAGGTATAAAAAACAAATCAAAGTAAAGGGGCTCAAATAGAACTGAATGACAGAATACATTCCCACTGAATAGTTATTCCTTTAAAACATTTTGACATTGAAAAGGGTTTGTTTGGAAAACCTCTCAAACCACTAGATAATTTTAATGAAACCTTCAGAGAGAAATCATTGGATTGACATATGCAACGGATTACTTTCTGGAGTCAACCGTATTCAAGAAGGCCGTCACAGCTAATCCACCCAATCGATCAATAACCATCTTTATTTTACAGACAATGAGCACAAAGCTGGTGTAGTAGCTGAAAGTCACACCCAACACATACTCAAGGAGCTAACAGAATGCAAAAGACCTCTATAAATATTTCAGCAGGCACTATACATTATTTTATGGAATCCTACTTTTACTAGCTTTGCTGTTCTGTAGAAAAGTATAAACCTCACATAGACTCCACTTACCTCAGAATAATCAGATGATGATCTTTTGGTTTTTCACACTAATGCAAGTGTTGTCTGCTTGGACTGTTTACATTGAACTTGTGTATTTATAGGGTCAAAACTCAAACAGTACTTTCGTATGGAGTTTTCCTGTAAGTGATTTGTGAATAAATGTCAGTAATCGGTTGAATGAAGTGGAATCTAAATGATCAAATAGGCTAGTTATCCATACATCCCCCATTTTACTTTACCTGCTTTTTCCTTTCCAGGTCACAAGTGTAGCTGGTGCCCATCTCTAGCAGTGATTGTACAATTCAATTCAATTCAAAAATACTTTATTAATCCCAAAGGGAAATTAAATGTTGTTGTAACTCATTGTCCTGGTTTCATTAAATAGTTGTTATATGCTGATGGCTGTGAGCAGGAAGGATCTCTTGTACTGGTCTGTCTTGCAGTGGATCTGAAGAAGCCTCTGACTGAAGACACTCTGTTGTTGTATGGCAGTCTGATGAAGAGGGTGCTCAGGGTTCTTAATGTTCTTCATTTTATGAAGACTGTTTCTTTATACAATCATCTCCAAAGGTTCTAGAGGAGTTCCCAAGGCCTGGTAAAAATTCTAGCAGTCTGGACAGTTGACCACCGGGGTGTTGTGAAAAAAATCCAAAACTAAGTAACCATTAAAAATCTCCCAGAATCTCAGAACCAAGCATATTCCTCACTAAGTTCAGCAATGAGCATGTATCATCCAGATGTTATGGGGTAAAGTCCAACACTCTAGGATGCTTTGCGTTTTTAATCATAAATTTGCATAAGCCTACATTTATAGTTTCCAAAAATCCAGCACAAGTGCAA